GACTATTCCAATCATCTGTCACCGCGTTCAATCTGTTCCTTTTAAGGCGAGGGGCATTCCCCGCATATTTTCCAAACACCACACTGTTATCAGATCCAGTTTCATGGCCAATTATACTGGCCCGCAGTGGTGCTAGCATCACGCTTCACTGTCCGCCGCTACTCAGACAGCTCATCGCTCCATCCTCATCTTTCTTCAAGCTCCAACTCGTACAACCAAAAGGTCAAAAGTCACAATCTGACACATTCTGCGCTGAGTTTCAAATGTAAGTTATTACATATAAACAAAGTTAACCTGCAAGTTTACAGCATGTAGGTGATGTCTATGTACAAGTCCAATGAATGATAACCAGCCAAATGTGCAGCCGCTGTATACAGTAGAAGCATACAAGAAGCCGGGCCTCTGCGGTTGTGCTACTAATAGGGGGTTGTAAAATTAATTTAATAGTTTGCAATAAGTACAGAGCTCGCATTCTTTGTCGGTCGGGATTTATGGATTCACTGCCAAAACGCAAACAGCAACAATCAAGATGCCTCGCTTTAGTTAAACAAGCACTCGACGGGTTCCCAGCAGAGAAATTTCCCAAAGCGTCTACTTGAAAACCCCCTCCCCGCCCCCTCAGCTCCATCCCAAAATCCCACAACAGACACAAATTAAACAATATAAGAATGTTGATGGCCAGTGATTCCACGCCGCAAATATTTTGCCGAGGAGAAAGCATGGAGACTTGGGCCGCCAGAGAAAACTCCAAATCTACTTTAAACAAGACCACGGAGAATCTTAAAGGTGGCCCAAAAACGAGCAATTTATTCTCCCTATACAGAGCTGTTTTACTTCCATTGAACGCAAATGAAGGTTATTTGAAAATGTTGGAAACCGGTAGCCGTACTGACTATTAGGGCTGTGCGATTTGGGGAAAATATCTAATTGCAGATATTGCGATTAGGATTTGATTTGTGATTTATATTTGCAGTCATTTTAGATGCTGGTTGTTGTATTTCCTCGTGCTGGCAACAATTACAAATAATCTGTCTTTTTTTCGGTGTCTGTGACTTTGAAACCAAAACATTCCCATATTACTGATGTGCTGTTTTTCTTTGATATCACTTCACCTATTAATGCTTCTGAAGCATCAGATGCCATCATACCACTCATCCGCACTTTTCTGTTTGTTTGTTTTTATTTTATTGTGGGGGTTCTGCATAGTTCGGTCCACACAATTCTGATTGAGCAGAACGGAAGCTTGCTCTCTTAATTGGCTTGTAAGTCTTGTCGCACACAGGTGACAGTCACGCATTTGCTCTGGATGGGGGAAATTAAATAATATATTCATATCGCAGCCTCTTGCAATCAGAGGCGCCACCCCTGTGTAAATTCTGGCCACCCTGTGGTCACCCCAATATGCCTTTGCTGTTAATATTATTAATGCAAATGTAATTACGTAGATTCACGATATTTTAATAAATAAATATAATTCAGTCACTAAAATTATTGTGGATTGATTCAATCCCACTCCCGATTGTCGTTGTCAGCATGCGCATGCATTCAACTACAGGACAGCAATATTAATTTAAGAAACAAAAACAGATTTTTATTTGGTTTGCACATGTATTTAATTATTTCAAGAAATAAATTGCAATACTTTAAGAGTAATTCATTAAACTAATTAATAGAAACTAAAACTGCATACAAATATAGCATTACACTGAATTGGTCACTTTTGTTTTGTGTGCAACCCCAATATTTTATGTGGCCTCATCTGGCCACCCCTAAGAAAAGTTTCTGGAGTCGACACTGGTTGTGATTAGCAAATCATAATGTTTCAAATTGCGATTGCGATTTGATTAATTGCACAGCCCTATTGACTATCTTTGATATTTTATTTTTCATCTTACTACACTTAAATGAAAGAAATTTGCTGTTTGTTCAAACTACATATTTAAATTGAGCTGAAACAACACAATTATTGAGTTTTTTTGAGGGACAACTTAATTGTTTAATGTTCAATCCACATAAATTTGTAAAAACTAAAAAGTTAACATAATCCAGTTATGTTGTCCCAACACAAATAGATTAAGAAAACACATTTAAGTAGATTGAACATAAAACAATTATGTTCTCAAAATGTTGTTTTTAATAATAGTGGTTTCAGCTCATTTTAAATAAGCACACTGTAAAAAAAATCCGTAATTTTATGGTTTTATAAACCGTAAAATAACGGCTGTTAAATTACAGAAATTTACTGTAAAAAACAAAAACAAAAAAGTTGAATTACAGAAATCTAGAAATGTAAATGTGAGCAAATTTCTGTAATTTAATGTTTTTTATTTTACAGTAAATTTCTGTAATTTAATGGCCGTTATTTTATGGCTTATATTCTGCACTCCAGCTGCCGGAAATAAACTAAAAAATTTCGTATTTCTTTTACAGTGCATTTCAAACAAGCAGCAAAAATCTGAATTTTTAGTTTATGGCTAACCAGTTTCCAACATTCTTCAAAACATCTTTTTTATCCAACAGAAAAATGAACTCCTAAAGGTTTGGAACCACCTGAGAATGAGTAAACAGAGATGAAAACTTATTTTATGGGGGATTAACCATTCCTTTATTAAGTTACAAAAGATTTAAATACAGTCGTGGGACATTAATATGGGTTAAATTTAAACACATTAAATGTAATAATGTTCGACTCCATTAATTTAAATCCAGCCCAAATAATTTTTTTACAACCACTTAACGCAAACAAAATAATTAGTAAATCCAAGGAATCATCTTTGAATCTTTTTTTCCATGTACTTAGAGTACACTTAAAAAAATACTTAAGTAGGAGCTTTCCAAAGAGTTTAATGCAACATAAGTTTTAACACCTTATTTGTGTCTTTATTATGTTCAAAACCAACTCCATCAGTTCCACTGAGATTTAAGATGCTACCACTATCTAGACAGTTTTGGCAGCTGTCAACCAACTTTTCAGCCTTCATCTGGAGAGTTTGAGTTGGGTAGATATAGAAAGAATCCAGATAGAGATCTAAGCAAAAGGGTGGGTGTGGGAGGAAAGGAGGAAGAAATTTACAGCAGAAAGGATAAGAGACTGTACACTGTAAACAAGCATCTCCAACTCTCAAATAACAATTATCAAGTATTATAATGCAAAGAAAAAAACATATATGCACCGAATTTTCGATCTTAAAGCAACTTAATCTAATAACATACCTTGAAATGATCTGTTTGAAATTATACTATTGAACAAACTATAGGCAAGAATGCAATATAAGCCACGTTTTAAACAAAAGACTTCACTGAGGCTGACGACAAATGGTTAACGTTTTATCAAACAATGAGCAAGAGTTTGTCAAAACAAATAAATATATGGCTCGAACTTTGTAAACTTGTGCGGAATGTCTGGTAAAACTGACCTGCGCGATGAGGCGAACGAAGTGCGCGTCCTTTAGATGTGCGAAGAAAAGCTGCCTGCAAACAGAAAAAGGAGTAGAGCTGCTCCTTCACTCCCAAATCTCCGGCGTTCAGTAACAGGACTCTGAGTTTGCGAAGCTCCTCCCTTCAGAAGCCATTCAAGACCTCCGCCTTCCACAATAACGCGCAGATTATACAGCCCTGGACTCAAATCAAACACTGTACCGCGACTTCATTACGGATAAACATGTTGGATTCGAGTCGGATATTACAGATTAAAGCATAAGTTTGAATCTACATATAAAGTGTAAATTAAATATAAAAAACGGCGAATATATGATAAATATTTTATTTTTATTAATATTTATTAATATTGATTTTATATATATACTCTACGAATAGATGTTGCCCATTAAAAATTAAATATATATTTTAAATACTTAATTCAAAGCTATACATTTGCAAAAAGAAATGATTTGAAACATCTACACCACACTTAAATAAATAAATAAATAAATAAAGATCCAAAAAATAAAAATAACTCATTGGATGAACTGAATTTAATTAAGTACAGGATTTCCATCTTATAAATCTGTTTAGCACCAACTTAAATAAATGAATAAATAAACAAATAAATAAATATTTACACAATTAAATGCAACTGAGTTGGTCCAACATGATACATTTGCATTTTTATTTTACTGATAATACGTATATCTATTATGTGTGTTACATTTCAAAGTCTCTTAGTTTTATCCTAAATGAACTAAAAGAGCCATTTTTAGTATATTTCATGAGATACAAAGACAGTTGACTGAGACTGATCTTAGGATCATTGACAGGGGCAGATTTAACCAATAAGTGAGGTAAGCGGCCACTTAGGGCCCCCAATAAATATCTAGAAGTATAAATTATACCTATAAACAACCTCGTTTTTTATTATATTTTGTATGGTGAGAGTTAAACTAATACAATTTCAACGTAATTAAATATTAAATAGTAAACAATCAATTATAGTATTATTATAATAATGTAATGTAATGTAATAATAACATTACAAAATAAAATATCCATCATGGAGCAGTCCAGAAGCCAAATTTATATATATATATATATATATATATATATATATATATATATAAAGATAGATGTATTATTTTAGTTGTAAATCATTTAAAATTTAGAGATTGCATTAAGATAAAATGTAGAAAAGAAGATTGTGTGATACAACAAACAGCCAAATAGATTTTAAAAATTAATTAATAGTAGAAAGGGTGCATTTCAGGACTTGGGTCTCATGGCTGGAATTGCTTAAGGCCCTAAAATCATTAAATCCACCCCTGCTCATCGAGAAAAGCAGCAAACTGCATTATTGCTCATTTTTTGATGCCAACACCCAAAGAATGGGTGCTTCAGCAAGGCGGTAATCTCAAAACTCAAAGCATTACATGAAAACCTTCAAAATCTTCAAACTTAAGTTATGATTAAACTCTAACAAGTCTTTCTATTAACTTTAAAGATCCAAGAATACTTTCATTGTCAACATTCCCCTCTCCTAATTCAATTCCACACAAAGCATGCTGGGAACTACAAATGCCCTAACCAGGTAGTTGGAATAACACAAATGCTTAATGGTTGGCAAAATTAAGTGGACTGAAAATAAAATAAATAAACTGACCAATGAAATTGCAAGAATTGTTTCAGCTTATTTTAAAGAAGTGGTTTAAACAAGCAGCAGTTTTTTTAATGCTGATATGGGGAAAAATGAGGACCTAAAATGATAAATAATTTAATTCTCCATTTAGAAAGTTACATTACATTAAGGTCAATATATTTTGGCGTTAGGTTGAACTTAAAATACACTCTGAGAAATAAAGTTACGTGAGCTGTCACTAAAAGTACCTAAAAGGCCCATATTAATACCTCAAGGGTACATATTAGTACCTTAAAAGTACAAAAATGTTCCTCTTAAAATTTTTAGGTACTAATATATACTTTTGAGGTAGCAAAATGAACCCTTTAAGTACAAATGTGTACCTTTTGAAAAGGTACCACCAAAGTGACTGCTCATACCTTTATTTCTGAGAGTGTACTGTTCATTTAAATATTGTAGCATTAAATATATTTAAAAAAATAAATAAATAATAATAATTTTAATAATAATTTAAAGAATTTCTGGGTGTTTTAAACCCAAATTGAGTTTAATATGGACTAACTCAGACATTAGGGTAAATTTTGTTCAATTAATGTACATTACAAAATATCCCAGCAGTTGGGTTAGTCCCTATTACACTGAAAAACGGGTTGAAATAACCCCGTTTTTGTTATAAGAATTTTCTGATTTTAAGATAAATTGAAGCGATGAAGTCAGCCAAAGCTGATTTTTAAAACCATTTTTTTTATTGGGCTTATGGTGGCTCAGTGGTTAGCACTGTCACCTCACATCAAAAAGGTTGCTGGTTCGAGTCCCGGCTAAGTCAGTTGGCATTTCTGTGTGGAGTTTGCATTTTCTTCCCATGTTGGTGTGGGTTTCCTCCGGTGCACTCCGGTTTCCCCCACAGTCCAAACACATGCGCGATAGGAGAACTGAATAAACAAAATTGGCCGTAGGGTATGAGTGTGAATGTCACGCCAGCAGGTCAAAGGGCCCACAGTGAGTGAGAGAGGGAGAGAGAAACAGAGTTCTAATGATGTATTACTGAGCCGATACCGAATTGCCCGCGTCTGCATACATATATTCGAGTCCTGATTGGCAGGTAACGTCCGATTCCGATCAAGTCTGAAACCGCGTGATCGGGCCCGATTTCCAATCACACGATCAGATCTGGACATCCCTAACTAAAAGAGCATCCGCAGTGTAAAACATATGCTGGAGAAGTTGCTGGGTCATTCCGCTGTGGCGACCCCTGATAAATAAAGAGACTAAGCCGAAGGTTATTTATTATTAACCCCAGTTACTAAACATGGCAAACAAATTAGAGCACTAAGCTCTGTGGATATTTTCAGATCTTTACACATGACTGAAGCCCATACCGGGGTGTTTTTGACCGAAATTCTGAGTGTGCATGTGCATGCGTGCGCGAGTGTATTGTGTGAGAATGAGATCATAGTATTAGACCTGAGGTCGGTGACTGTGTGTGTCTTGGCAACATTAAAAAGCATGGCTGAAAATGAAATTCTTGAAGTCAGGCAAATAACTCAAGCAAACACCATTGATGGAAATGGAGGATTTATTTGTTCTACATGTATGGCTCTGGTCAAACAGAAGTGCGAGCGAAACATCTCCTCGTATTTTCCCACGAATTGGAAACCAAGAGCAGTCAAATGTTGATCGTTTTGCCTGTAATTTGGTTACACAGGAGAAGTTGCCAGACATATTTGGTCTTTTGATCTGAGGGCTTTGCCTGGACTATATTTGCCTGAGGATCTCAGATGTTTACTTTTATAATGTGCTTTGGTTTATCACATCAGGCAAAGGCCTCAGATAACCTCGGATATTAAATATGAGTTCCTGAAAATATTAGCTGCTTGCCTTAACTCGCTCTCAGGGAATAGGCCTCTCTCTGGGAGTACGTGAACTTGTTTTCACCAGGACATCTGAAGGGCTGAGAGTTTAACATCACAGAGAGCTGTAGGTGAATCACAGGTTGCTAAAACCTCCTCTGCTTTATATCTGCCACATCTTCAATGGCTCTGTGGTTGTGGGAGCTGCAGATTTAATCACCAACCAAGTGACAGAAAAACACACGCACAGACTAATGCGTCACCTTTTAATAATCATGCTTTACAATTCTGATGCCGTTTCCTGCGCTGTGAATGAGAGTCAGTAATTTAGGACTCAAAGCTCAAATTGAAGTGGTAAACCCACTGCTGTTGTTACTGTTCATATCACTGAGGAAGAGCTGCAGTTCACATATAATAAAGGACAAGCTGGAAGCTGGAAGTGCTCCACCAATCAAAAAAAACTGGGATCTCTGAACAAATTAGATCAGAGTAGAACCACGTGACAAATCAGAGAAGAGTAATGCCGTCTGACCAATTAGAGCAGATCTGATCAATCAGAGCAAAGTAATGGCATCTGACCAATCAGAGCAAAGCAATGCCCTCTGACCAATCAGAGCAAAGTAATGCCATCTGACCAATCAGAGCAGATCTGATCAATCAGAGCAGAGTAATGGCATCTGACCAATCAGAGCAAAGCAACGCCATCCGACCAATCAGAGCAGAGTAACGCCATCTGACCAATCAGAGCAGAGTAATGCCATCTGACCAATCAGAGCAGAGTATCGCCATCTGACCAATCAGAGCAGATCTGATTAATCAGAGAAGAGTAATGTTATCTGTCCAATCAGAGCAGAATTACACTATTGCCAATCAGTGCAGAGAAGGGTCATCTGATCAATTAGAGAAAAGTAGGGTTATCTGACTAATCAGAGCTGAGTAATGCCATCAGACAAATCAGAACAGTGTAACTCTATGTGACCAATCAGAGTAGAGTAATGCCATCTGACCAATCAGAGCAGATCTGATCAATCAGAGCAGAGTAATAGCATCTGACCAATCAGAGCAAAGCAACGCCATCTGACCAATCAGAGCAGATCTGATCAATCAGGGCAGAGTAATGCCATCTGACCAATCAGAGCAGAGTAATGCCATCTTACCAATTAGAGTAGTGTAACTCTATCAGACCAATAAGAGCATAGTAATGCCAGATGACCAATCAGAGTAGAGTCATCTGAATAATCATTGGAAAAAAATGCCATCTGACCAATCCAAGCAGAGTAATGCCACCACAGACAAATCAGAATAGTGTAACTCTACGTGACTTATCAGAGTAGAGCAACTTCATGTGGCCAATCAGAGCAGACCTGATCAGTAAGAGCAAAGTAGAGTCTTCTGACTAGTTAGAGCAGATTAGGGTCATCTGACCAATCAGTGCAGAGTAACGTCATCTGACCAATGAGAGCAGAGTAACGTCATCTGACCAATCAGAGTAGTGTAACTCTATGTGGCCAATAAAAGAAAAGTAATGCCATCTGACCAATCAGAGTACTGTAACTTCATCCGACCAATAAAAGAAGAGTAATGCCATCTGACCAATCAGAGTACTGTAACTTCATCCGACCAATAAAAGAAGAGTAATGTCATCTGACCAATCAGAGCAGTGTAACGCTATCTGACCAATCTGCTATCTGACTGAGTTAGGGTTTATTGAGTCTTGAACTAACCACTTCAGATGCTGTGAGAAATGAGCTGTCAGTGCAGTGTATTTGATAAGAAAATTAATCTGTTTTGTAATGAGCTTGGATGTAAATATTGTAAGAAATCTCCCAAAAGAAAGAAACAGCACATACTACAGGCATGTAGTGTCTGTTATCAGCCGGATGAAAATGAATGACAGAACAATGTGATAACTCTGCTTGATCTCTGAACGTCTTTCACACTGATCCTTAACCTCGCTGGCATTGAAAACAGTGCATCGGGATACAGTGAACCTTTGGAAGTGCTTTTTAAGGGAGGAAGAACAATATGTGTCTAACGTTGCCAAAGAGACGGCATCTGTATTCAATCTAAAGTGAATCCATCTGCTAATCATAAAAAAGAGAAACCTGCATTAATAGGATAGTAAAAAATGATACTGCATACTTTAAGATCATGCACAAAGGTTACTTTGATCCACTAGGAGGAAAAATACAGGGTATTTTTATTTGTATTCGTTCATTCATTTATTTTTTATCCAGCTATCTATCTATCTGATTAATTGTTTATATTTAATATACATGTAAAAATGGCATTGAGAAAATAAATATGTTAAAACAACAATAAAAATAAAATAAAATAATCAGTTATCAGACATGTTTGTATACAATTTTATCTTCAGATGTGTTGGGAAACCAACATTTGATGGAATAATCCAGATTTTCACAACAAATAAAACCATTTGATATTTTTTAATCATTTTCTGCAAAACAAACAAACAAACAAACAAACAAACAAACAAACAAACAAACAACTGACCAAACAAACAAACAAACAAACAAACAACTGAACAAACAAACGAACAAACCAACAAACAAACGAAGGAAAGAACAACAAAACAAAGGAACGAACGAATGAACGAGCGAATTAATGTGAACGAGTGCGAATGAACAAACGAACAAACAAAAACAAACAAACAAACGGGCAAACAATCAAACAAAGAAACAAAAAAACACAAATGAGCAAACAAACGAGCAAACAAGTGAGCAAAGGAATGAACAAACAATCAAACGAACGAACAAACAAACAAACAAACAAACAAACATAGAAACAAAGAAATGAGCAAACAAACAAGCAAACAAACGAGCAGACAAATAATCAAACAAAAAAAAAGAACAAAAAAACACGAACAAAAAAAACGAACTAACAATCAAACAAAGAAACGAACAAACGAACAAACAAACAAACAAACAAATAAACAAACAAACAAGCAAGCAAGCAAACAAACAAACAAACGAACAAACAAACAAACTCAACATTTTTATTTGAACTATGGAGAAAATGTCATCAGACCTTTATATTACAACAAATAAAAATTTACACAAACCCATGCCTACATTGAATAAATCAAGAGAAACTTTGACTTAAAGAAAGACTTTTGAAATGATCTCTTAATTTAAAAAAATTGCTAGTTAGTATATTATACTACTAGCTAGCTAGTTATTGCAAAAATTGCTATTAGTATACGTATAAGGAAATCCCTTTTCTCCAGTGTTTTAATACTACTAATAAGAGTAGCAATAAAATGAATAATAATAATAATAATAATAATAATAATATTAACAACAATAACAATAAATATAGTAGGAACACAAGTAATTATACTGTTCAGTTGTTGCCAGCACAATTTCCAGTTGCCAGAACACAGTACATTTCTTCGTTCTCTTCACTTCATAATGTATAACTTTATTATATATATATATTTTTAGCACGAAACTTTCTAGATGGTCCATAGTGAATCTCAAAATGTCTTCATTTCAATTATACCTAATGTTTATTTGTAGCTCACTTTGGTCAAGAACTGTTACCAGTAAAATTAGGTAGGTGTAAATCCCCATAAGTGCTGGCTAGCAGGTTAAGTATTACCTTTTTCATATTTACTTAATATTTCTATATCCAGCACACCCACACAAGTATTACACTCAATTAGTAGCCAACTAACTCCTACATATACAGTAAAAATTAAAGCATATCAAACCCCCCCAGGATCCCCATGTATTGATTCGCTGGTCGAGTTAAGCTGAAAATGATTTTGCTCTGCTGATTTAAACAGTCTTTTGTGACCTAAAGCTTTTTCTGAAAATGCTGACTCGGGTCTTGATGACTGATGGCATTTGTGTGCTGGTTTGCCATCTGCCTGGTAATAGAGGATGCAGTGCCACCCAAACTCCTTCCCTTCACCTCCCTGTACTTCCTTTTATAAACAGCACCACATCTATTCGGGGACAAAAATGTCATATATCAGCTGAAAATTAGGACAACTTATGATTTTTTGATATTCTTGGGATACTGTTTCTGATTTATTGGGGATTTAATGGGCTTTGTCGCCCCCTGGTGTGCTTAAAATGTAAGTTTAGTCAATGCGGCGTAATTGTAAAGCGCCATCTGTAGGTCAACACTTAAACTGCATCTAACTCAACATTCAACAGGCTGCATTGCAGCATGTTTTTAATCAATTGTTTAATCTTTTAATGAACCACTCCAGCTTCTAAATTCACCCAATATGCTTTTATTAAAAAGAAAAATTATCTATTTTCTGTTTGTAAACCACAAATAATGGCAAACGGTTAATAAATTAAGCATGCTCTCACCCGAGGGTACACAATAGCCTTATTGGTTTCAATCAAGGCTGAATGTGAAGCAAATATTTAGACTGTTGATTTGATATGATGTGAATATGATGTTGTTTTATTAACTAATCTCTCTCCACGGACAGCGACGCGCACACATTTTAATCACAGCAAATCACAATTCAATATCGCGTGCGAGCCACAGCTGCCTGACAAAATAAATGAATAATTTAGCATAAAATAACGTTCAGGGGTGATTAAAATTCAAAACAACAGTAAGAGTTTGGTACCAAGATGCCCTTCTTTGTCATTTGAAAATATATTTAGATTGTATTCAGCTATACATAAAGTTTTAATGTTAAATAATATTTATTTTTCTGTAATACATTTGTAAATTAAACATTATTTTAATATTTAACTTTTTTTTTCGTATAATGAGTTTTTTGGGTGGCACAGTCGCTTGCAGCAAGGTCACTGGTTTAAGTCTTGGCTGGGTCAGTTGGCATTTCTGAGTTTGCATGTTCTCTTCGGGTGCTTCGGTTTCCCCCACAGTCCAAAGATTGTAAACAAATTTGGCTGTAGTGTATGAGTGTATGTGTGAATGTGAGTGCATGGGTGTTTCCCAGTACTGGGTTGCAGCTGGAAGGACATCTGCTGCGTAAAACATATGCTGGATAAGTTGTCGGTTCATTCCTCTGTGGCGACCTCTGATAAATAAGGGAGTAAGCTAAAAAATTGAATGAATGAATAAACAATTTAGATCTTATTTTACTCATCTATTTACTTTTTTTTATAACTTACTTATCTTAATATCTTCTCTCTCTCTCTCTCTCTCTCTCTCTCTATATATATATATATATATATATATATATATATATATGTATGTATATATAAAATCACATAAGTGTAAATTTCTTAAATAAATTATTTTAGTTTCAAAGTTTTAGTGTTTTCCACCTTTTAAAGCATCCATTATTGTTTAGTTATTTTTTATTTTAGAGTTTATAGTTTACTTATAGTTTAATTATAATCTAAGCCGAATGGAAATTAAATAAATATTCCCTTGTCTATTTTAGCTGAAATAAAAGAAGTTAAAGTTCTTATATTTATTCATATTTTTCTATTAACATTTAACGTGATATTTATTTAATATTTTATTTCAAATGAAAAAAAAGCATTTTATATTTATGTATAAGTTAAAAAGTACAACAGTAAAAGCTGTAGTAAACACTTTACCATAGTAAAGTAGACACCTTACCTAATTTCGCATAACTCTAATTCTATATGAATCATTTATATAAACCACTTTTGTGAATTAAATTAGAAGCAAACACCAAAACAAAACTGTGTATTGATATAAGCAGCAAATCATAATTTAATATTGTGTTCAAGCCAAACAGGCAAATCAAATCAAAACAAATGCACAAATAAAAGGACAGTTTACCCAAAAAATCTCAATTCTGTCATCATGTACACACATTTACTCATTTCAAACCTTTACAAGTTTTTTTTTTCATCTGTTGAACATAAAAGAAAATATTTTGAAGAATGTAAAACCAGTAACCATTGACTCTTATAATAGGAAAAACAAATATGGAAGTCAATGGCTACAGGTTTTCAACATTCTTCAAATTATCTTTTTTTTTGTGTTTAACAGATGGAAAAAAAAACTCATTACGGTTTGGAACAAGAAAAAACGTAAAGAGTGAGTTGTGCTGCACACAAAAGAAGATATTTTGAAGAAAGCTAAAAAACCTGTAACCATTGACTCCCATAGTAGGAAAAACATATATAAGTCATGGGCTACAGGTTTCCAACATTCTTCCAAATATCTTCCTTTGTGCTTAACAGACAAAAGAAAGGTTTAAAATAAGGAAAGAGTGAGTAAAACGATGACAAATTTGTCATTTTTGGATAATGTTTATGAAAATTCAACTGTTTTAAAAACACCAGCACATCTGTTCGCGGACAAAAATGTCATATATCAGATAAAAATTAGAACAGTTGATGATTTTTTTGATTTTCTTGGGATGTAACCATAACCATTAACCGGTAACCATTGACTGCCATAGTAGGAAAATCAAATATAAAAGTCAATGGTTACAGGTTTCCAACATTCTTCCAAATTTTGGGTGAACTATCCCTTTAACAACAACAGACTGTGACTTCAGTTCAAAACAAACGACACGAGTCTTGCATCTCGTTTTTTGTTTTCACCCTGTTTACTGTCCGGCATCGAAAAGCTTCTTCCTGCCCTCCATGCCAGACATCGCCTCCACGTTCTTCCTCCAGTCTGTGACCTCTTCTTTCTGACAGAGAGAAAACACAGAGATGAGAGTCAAACCCACTAGATTGAGCTTTAAATGCAGACATTTCATCACCGCCGGGCTTTCAGAAGAAATCAGAGCACTTTTACAAGCGGAGCTGAAAAGCAGAGGCTGGAGAGCAGCAGGTTTGTTGTAGTGCTGGAGCTGCAGTGTTACCTTTTCCTCCTCTTTTTTCACTGTTTTGAGGTTGGCTTTGAAGTCTGCTTTGGAGACTCTGGAGTCTGTTAACGCTCCCAGCATGGCCTCTGCTGACTTCTTCACCCGTCGCAGATTCGGACGCTTCATTTTGCCCTTCAGCTCATAGATCTTCTGGGTTAATGACAGGATCTGATGACCAAAAAAATACATGGGGTTTTAATAGGGTTTCTCAACCATGTTCCTGGAGGACCACCAACACTGCATGTTTTGGGTGTTTCCTTTGTCTGTCATACCCATTACAGATCTCTGCATTAAGTCTCTGCTAATGTGCTGCTGCTCTAAATCAGGTGTGTTTGGTTTAGGAGACATGGAAAATGAGCTGGTGGTCCCCAGGAACATGGCTGAGAAACTGTTTTAATACATATTTGAAGTTAGTACACTCTAAGACAGTGTTTCTCAACCACGTTCCTGGAGGCCCACTAACACTGCATGTTTTGGATGTCTCTTTTGTTAAACTAATTACAGGCCTTTCAGTCTTTGCTAATGAGCTGATGATCTGTATCAGGTGTGTTTAGGAGACATTGAAAATGTGCAGAGCTTGTGGTCCTCCAGAAACGTGGTTGAGAAACACTGCTCTAAGAAATGATGGGTTATTTGGTCATAAATTGTTTAAAATTAATGTTAAAATGGGTCATATTCATTTAATAAAAAAAAAAAAAAACATACCCAGCAATTAGTTTAGCCCGTATTACAGCCAGAATTGGGTTGAAATAATATAATTTTTTAGGGCAGGGGTGTCCAAACACGGTCCTGGAGGACCTGTGTAGAGATCCCTTATCAAACACACTTGAACTGGCTAATCAAGCTCTTGCTAGATATACTAGAAACTTCCTGGCAGGTGTATTGATGCAAGTTGGAGCTAAACTCAGCAGAATACCAGCCCCCCAGGACAGAGCTTAGACACCACTGTTTTAGGCAACAAAATAACATGACATTTTATTCGATATTAGATGTCTGTTCATTCATTCATTCATTCATTCATTCATTCATTCATTCATTCATTCATTCATTCATTCATTCATTCATTCATCCATCCATCCATCCATCCATCCATCCATACTTACATATATACAATCATTCATTCATTCATTCATTCATTCATTCATTCATTCATTCATTCATTCATAAATTAAAAGTAGTTTAGTAAAGATAGACTATAAAATGATACAAAAAGTCTCAAAGTTATATTAATAGTAACTGATTACGTTATTTTAATAATAAAAGATAATCAGGTTTTAACATTTTTTTGTTATATACATTTTAACTTAACGTTTTTAGTCAGTTTGACTTTAAGTAGAGGTGACTAGAAAAGGTAAATTGATTTAACTAAGTTTAGACAGCAAAATGATTTTTATACAGTGTATATTTAGCTGATCTAAAGTGAATTTTTTTCACATAAACACAGTTGGCATTTCTTTGTGTAGAGCATGTTCTGTGTTCATGTGGGTTTCCTCCGGGTGCTCTGGTTTCCCCCACAGTCCAAATATATTTGCTATAGGTGAATTGAATAAGCTAAATTGGCCATAGTGTATGTGTGTGAATGCTTCCCAGTGTATGGATGTTTCCCAGTACTTGGGTTGCGGCTGGAAGGGCATCCGCTGCATAAAACTGTCGATAAGTTGATAAGTTGCTAAAACTGTCGAAAAGTTGGCAGTTCATTCCGCTGTGGCGACCCCCTATTAATAAAAGGAACTAAGCCGAAGAACACATGAATGAATGAATAAAAGCAAACGCATAAATAAATGCTTAAGTAATTATAAAACACTTTAATATTTATTAAAAAAAAAAATTAATAATCATACAGATCCCAAATTATATGCACTTTAGTAATATTATTAGTACTATGGTACTATTTTTATTTAGTACTTTTTGTTAATAGTTTTGAATTTTTATATTTTTGTTAACATCTTGTGTCATTTTTATTAGTTTCACATATTTTTTTATTTTAATTTGATTGTTTTAATTAATTCATTACAAATTTTAATTAAAAATGACAAATATTTTCTTGGCTTATATTTAAATATCTCCTTAAACGTTTCCTTAAATGCAAATTTATAATAATTAGTGTAAAAAGAGACATATTTCCATAAATATTTCCTTTCCTTAAAGTTTTAATAATTTACGATTTTGTTTTCTTAATTAATTCATTAATTCATTGATTCATTATTATTTTAGCTTTTGTCAATTCACCTTTTAATTTCAACAGTATGAAAATAGCACATATTTCGTTGCCCACATATGCTCCGTACACATACCTCAGCATCATTTCTGGTGACTTTAATATTAAGGTCATATCGCGCTTCATCCACAACATCAATCTTGTGGTGCAAATCTTTACAAAGCTCCTGCAAAGACAAACAATAATCCATAAAGGCAAACACCACGAACATCTGTGCTGCTGACATACAGAGAGAGAGAAGCTGTGGGTGCCAGGAAAGCTCTGGACGTAAATATTACAATAACATCTAGTCATTCAGCGGATGCTTTCGTTCAAAGCAGCTTACTTTAATTGAGGAGACCTTCAGTGATTCAACAAGAAGAGGCAATACACACTACAAATGCTAATTAACTGTTAGTGCTCAGAGTAGTAGGGAGGGGGAGGATTTTGTTATAGAGAGAAGAGTGGTTCTACAGGTGGTTTGTCAACCCCACTCACCTGTGTGAAGCACATTTCACAGTTAAAAAAATGGAGATCATACCTGTCAACCATCCTGATTCTCCCATATTCTATTATACATAAAGTGGACACTTTGGGATTTGGGTGTTTGTTTAAACACATACACTTATATGTAAATATGTAATATGCAAAAATATGTAAACAAGTCTGTCTTGGCATGTTTTATTTTAAACACAACTCATTTCATCTTAATAAACAGTTTTGAACGCAATCAAATGCTCTTATTATAGATCTGCACATTCTGAAAGTAACACCTCTAACATCAAACTAAAACGTGGATCGAAATGAGAGATTCATTTGCTTCTCTTCACTAAATATTTACAGTAACTTTAATCAATATCTAAATACAGTGAACAATATTTTATAACTTGATTTAATTGATTCTAAAAGGCTAAACCTTTTGTATTATTGTCAGTATTTTCTACTGTACGCTAATTCTTTTTCAACCCCCATATTTGTAACAGTTACAACTTTGCTTATTTACATGTACAATAAATACAGATCTGACTGAACAGATTAGGAAGTTTGGGGTCATTTTGGGGTATTTGGTGGGGATGTGGTGTGGCGAGGTTGGGGCATCCCATATTTTTTACATCCTAATGTTGACAGGTATGATATACACTCACCGGTTTCTTTATTAGGTACACCTTACTAATACCGGGTTGGACCCCTTTTTGCCTTCAGAACTGCCTTTATCCTTCCTGGCACAGATTCAACAAGTTACTGGAAATATTCCTTAGAGATATTTGTGCATATTGACAAGATATCATGTACATTGCACAATCATAATGCGAATCTCCTGTTCCAACACATCTCAAAGGTGCTCTATTGGATTGAGTTCTGGTGACTGTGGAGGCCATTTGAGTACAGTAAACTCATTGTCAGGCTTAAGAAACCAGTCTGAGATGATTTACGCTTTATGAAAAGGTGTGTTATCCTGCTGGAAGTGGCCTTACTGGATATTTTCTCTTTTTTTGGATCGTTCTCTTTAAACCCTAGAGATGGTTGTGCATGAAAATCCCAGTAAATCAGCAGTTTCTGAAATAGTCAAATCAGCCCGTCTGACACCAACAACCATGCCATGTTCAAAGTCACCTAAATCAGCTTTCTTCCTCATTCTGATGCTCGGTTTGAACTGCAGCAGATTGTCTTGACCATGTCTACATGCCTCAATGCATTGAGTTGCAGCCATGTGATTGGCTAATTAAAAATTTGCATTAACGAGCAGTCGGACAGGTGTACCTAATAAAGTGACCGGTGAGTGTAGATATGGAGTGATTGTAAGAAAGTGTTCGGTGAAAATGCGCAAAACTGCTGCAAGTGTCAGTTAAAGTGTCAGCAAGCAGAATGTGTTTGTTCTACAGTTGGTTTGTCAACCCCACTCACCTGTGTGAAACACACTTCATAAAAGCATTATATTTTTATTATAGATATGGAGTGATTGTAAGAAAGCATCTGATGAAAATGCGCAAAACTGCTGCAAGTGTCAGTTAAAGTGTCAGCAAGCAGAATGTGTTTGTTCTACAGTTGGTTTGTCAACCGCACTCACCTGTGTGAAACACACTTCATAAAAGCATTATATTTTTATTATAGATATGGAGTGATTGTAAGAAAGCATCTGATGAAAATGTGCAAAACTGGTGCAGGTGTTGGTTATAGTGTCAGACAGATGAAAGAGTGTGTTTTCTAAAGGTGGTTTGTCAACCCCACTCACCTGTGTTTAGCACACTTTTTAAATGCAGTGTTTTTTATATATATTTTTTATTAAAGATATGGAGGCATTGTAAGAAATCGTCTGATGAAAATGTGCAAAACTGGTGCAGGTGTTGGTTATAGTGTCAGACAGATGAAAGAGTGTGTTTTCTAAAGGTGGTTTGTCAACCCCACTCACCTGTGTGAAGCACACTTTATAAATGCAGTGTTTTATATATATATTTTATTAGAGATATGGAGTGATTGAAAGAAATTGTTTGGTGAAAATGTGCAAAACTGGTTCAAGTATTAGTTAAAGTTTCAGCAAGATGAATGTGTGTGTTCTACAGGTGGTTGGCCACTGTGTGAGGCACATTCAGATTAGCATAATGTTAATAAATATGTAAAGCTGTTGACCTGCAGCTCTTGAACAGACAGACCGGAGAGGTTCAGTGGTGGTGCTCGCTCCCGCAGGGTGTTTTCTCTCTCTAAATCCTTCAGCTCTTTCTCTTTCACCAGCAGGCCTTCCGCCTTTTTCAGCAGTTTACTCTGAGGTGGTCAAGAGAAAAGGTGTTAGTATTCACTAATGCAAACCAGATGAAATCGAAAGCATTATGTGACGAATCATTGGTGCTCTCTATTTTTCTGCTTTCCACAAAATAAAAGGTTTGTTTTTAGTGAAGCACTGTTCAGTATCACTTCTCAATTCTCACTGTTAACTAATAACAAAAATATCTAAATACTTTAGCTGATCTTTGCGCATTAGCCCAAATGTTAGTAGTAGATACAGCGTTTATACACTGTTAATGATTCGTACAGTTCAGTGGCATTGTTTACATTCTGTGGTTCCAATATGGCCGACTGATTATGTGTCATGAAAACACAACATATGTGAAAAGTTTGGTGTTGTCTGTGACCCACCTTTAGCAGTAGTCTGCGTGTTGCTGAGTACTTTGACACTGATTTGTTCTTCTTTTTCTGCAGGAACAGCACAAGTTAATCTGAGCTCATTATAGTCTGTGGTCCAGTTAAGACAGTCCTGTGAGCGGCTCTAATCTGCACACGCATTAACTGTCTGACCCAATTACTGTCTGAATATCCAAAATTGAGGGCTCAGTGGAACGGTGTAGTTTTAAGCAGACCGGAGCAAACTTACGGTGCAGATTAGTTTTGAACATGCTGCTCGGTGTCCTTATAAAATTACTAAGGGACTAAAAACCATTTAGAGCATTAAAAGGGTCACTGAGTGCATTATTCACTGGACTCAAATATATATTATAGGACACACCATGCATTGATACTTTAAATTTTTACATATTGAAGGATAGTAAGGCGTATTTCACGACCAACATGCAAGGAATTTACTTACCGGTCTGTGAAAAAACAAAACAACAACAACAAAAACTGTATTAAAGAACAACTGCAGTTGTAAATGTTTAAGAAAATATGAATATGTCTTGCTTTTGACAAAAGTGAGACTAGATGTTATGTGCATATCTTTGTGGTTTATTAATGCAGTATTGAATTGTAATGGTTTCTAACTAATTATTCCTGATACTTTGATGTTAAGTTTGACATTACTTTTCATGCTTTGGATTTACACAAGCAAAAAAATAATATGGCCTTGTATTGCATTGTACATTTGTTACACTGATGAACAGTAGTTTCTATGATAAAACCAATAAATTCATACACTGTAAAACTCAAAAAGTTAAGATAACTCGAACTGTTTAAGGAAATGGATTGCAACAAACCATTTAAGTTCAAAAACTAATCATAATGAGTACAGTGCACTTAATCCATTTGAGTAAAAGAAGTGATTTGGGAACAGTAAAACCCAATAAATGAAGAGAACTCAAACCAACTGAGTACTGTAAAACCCAATAAGTTAAGTCCACTCAAACCATTTGAGGAAACTGATTGCTACAAACCACTTGAATTAAAAACTAATCTACAGTATACGAGTACTGTGAAATTATTTTATTTAAGATAAAGTCATGAGGTATTTAATTAATTTGTTACCTTACACCGTAAAAAGTGACTTAAAAGTGAGTAAACCGATTACCTTAAAAGCAACAAGTTGACTTTACAAAGTATACCCATTGTATTTTTATAATTATGCAAATAGTACTTTCTTTTTTAAAAATAAAAGTTAACTAATCACTTTTTTTCCCAATACACCTTTATTATATTTGTTTTTTCCCCCCAACTTTTCAGTTTCTGTCAAAATAACATACAGTAAAAGAAATCTGCTCTTCCAGACTCCAGTGTGTCTTCTAAATTCAATACAGGCTATAATTGTTGATTTTATAGACATAATGAAGCACCAAATTTGTGATATTGTGATAATTACAGAAATTATTTGAAAACAGACATGCTAAAATAGTCTGACACTGTAAAAAGGGGTTTGTTGACTTAAAAAAGGAGGTACAATTAGCATATTTCTAAAAAAATATATCAACTTAAAAGTTACAATAGGTTTACTAACATTATTTTTGTAAAGTCAACTTGTTGCTTTTTTTGTTAACTTTCAGTCAATTTTGAATTAACTACACTCATTTTATTTGATAAAGTTGACTGATGGGATTTGCAGTGTAATAATTAAATGTATTCCTTTGTTTAACTTAAAACAAACAAACAAAAAGTCTTGTCAAAAGATAATTGTAAATATAAGTTTGTGAAAAGTATGTGTACATATTAAAATAATAAAATAAAAATAAATACAAAACCTATATATATATATATCGACTTTTATATATAATAAAAATAATTACAAAACCAAAAGATTTGCATATTTATATTTAGATACAATTTGTTTTAATTATTACTATTAATTTTATAAATATAAATAAACATTTCTTAAGTATAATAATTCATGTATATAATGGATGTATGTGTACACTGTAAAACTCAATAAGTTAAGCAATTTCAAACTGTTTGCAGAAACCGATTGTGGCAAACTATTAACGTTTTGAAACCAAATGGATTGAGTACTTTAAACTTATATATACGGAGTCATATATAGGTATATTAATTGTGTTTATATCGATAAAACATTTAGAGCATTAAAAACGTATATATAAAGTTAAATATAGAGTTCAGTTAACAGAACGAATTGAGTTCAAACAACTATATAGCTACTCAAATGGTCTGGTATTGCATCTAGCATTAGAGTTAACGCACAAAATTGAATTAATTGATTAATAACTCATTCAGCTTGAGTTCTGCTTACAGGTTATGAGTTACCATAACTCTTTTTAATTAAGTCAAAAATGTTACATTTCAAAAAATTATAACGTATTTCATTTAGTGGTTTTCACTGTTAGGTTTTACTGTGTACATTCAGCTTTATCAAATGAAATGAGTGTAGTTAACTCAAAATCAACTAAAAGTTAATTCTACTCATTTGAAATAGTTCATTAAATACCTCATCAAGTTCACAGTACTGATATATATTCAATTTTCCTTAACTCAAATAGTGTGTTGCAATCGGTTTCCTCAAACGGTTCGAGTTTCCTTCTCTTATTGGGTTTTTACAGTACTCAGTTGGTTTGAGTTCTCTTCATTTGTTGGCTCTTACTTTGCTCAAATTGCTTCATTTACTCAAATGGATTAAGTTTACAGCAATAGTTAGGATTAGTTTTTGAACTTAAATGGTTTGTTGCAATCAGTTTCTTTAAATGGTTTGAGGTTTTTCAGTGCATATAATATAAAAATATTTGTATTCATATTGCTTTTGTATATTTTATGTAGTTTATGTACAGTATATGTGCATTTATACTTATAAATACATTGTACACAAGTAAACACAAAATTTTTATCTTGCATGGACGAAATTAATAGTTTGATAGCACTAATTTATACATTTTGAGTTATTTATGTTCTTATGTACATTATATATTGAGAACATACAAAATTCCCATCATTTTAACTTGGTGTAAATAAGCCGTTTTGAATGAGCACATGACATTGACAGGGTCAACAGCCTAATAAAGATAACACTTACCCCTCAGACATGGCTGAAATACACTATGTGACCTGAAAGAGAGCCAAAATAATTGTGGTCAGCGTTCAGCACTTCACCATTCATATCTGCACGTGTCTGTCAAGCATCACCAGTCGAATGCCAAACAACTGTCATGGATTAAGAGCGTCGCCAGAGTCCAGGACTCCATGCTAAAAAAGAGCGTTTCAATGCATTAAACAAAACCTGCTGTCCTTCCACATCAAAAGCTACAGATCCACTAATGCAGTCTCGGCATGCAGACGTACACACTGTTGCATTCTAGGATACCGGATAGCACTATGACTGTTTTTAAAGTCCCCCTAAATTCAAAACTTTAAATATGTATTACTATGTTAGTACACTAGTATTAGTATGCTCCAAATGCAGCGTTTCTAATTTCTGCCACTAAGAATCAACCATATCTTAGGACTTGATGATTTAAACTATTCATTCACTAAGCACTTCAGCTTCTTGTCATCGTTTCTGCAAGCATTCATAATGTGGGTTCCCCATAAACCAGCATTAAACACTGCATATTGTGCACTTAATTATGTACTGAACACCAGGGTGGAAGTTATACATTGACAAACAGGAGGTGTCAGCATTTTCGTTTGTGTAATACATGCTTCAGTGATTGAAATATATGTATTTATTGAAATTGTGTCTTATTTATTATTAAAACATTCACATTTTCAGTGTTTTGACCTACAGTATCCTCTGATTTTGAACATTAGCAGGACCACGGCCAAATCCAAGCTGATGAAGAGTGTGTGCCATCTACTACCAATACTCAAAAGTGCCGTTTCCCCTCAGATGACACTGTTCACTTTCATACATTCATTTTCCTTTGGCTTTGTCTCTGATTTATCAGAGTTTGCCACAATGGATTGAACCGCCAACAATTCCAGCATATGTTTTACACAGCGGATGCCCTTCCAGCTGCAACCAAGTACTGGGAAACACCCATACACTCTCACATTTAGGTCAAACTATGCATCTTATTCGACTTTACTTTCAAGTTATGCTGACACAGACACCTAATTTACAAGAAAAGTGAACACTTGTGATGTCTCTGTGCTCTTGATCAGCATAGATCTAGTATAGATTCTTGCATAGACTGATTGCCATGATTATGCATTAACAATGGTATAAACCATTGTGGGGGTGGTCAAATGTGTATATATATATATATATATATATATATATATATATATATATATATATATATATATATAAATACATTTTTTTAAGATACACATCTGAGCAAACTATATGACTGGAAGATCAAGCTTTAATTATGGTGGTCAGACCTCCGAAAACTCTGTAATTCCCACCCTGCGAAGTAGTATCGTAGACATTTGCATTACACTGAATACTGTATTTTAAAGTGGAGAAATTGTTTGAGAGAATTACCAATGCTATTATAGACTGTCGCAACATGGTGGCTCAGTGGTTAGCACTGTCGCCTCATAGCAAGAAGGTCACTGGTTCGAGTCCCAGCTGGGCCAGTTAGCATTTCTGTGTGGAGTTTGCATGTTCTCCCCTTGTGGTGTGGATTTTCTCCGGGTGCTCTGGTTTCCCCCACAGTCCAGAGACATTCATGTAAATTGGATAAACAAAATTGGCTGTAGTGTGTGAGCATATGAGTGTGTATGGGTGTTTCCCAGTGATAGGTTGCACCTGTAAGGGCATCCGCTGTGTAAAACATATGCTGGATAAGCTGGCGGTTCATTCCGCTGTGGTGACCCCTGATAAATAAGGGACTAAGCTGAAGGAAAATGAATGAATGAATTAAAGTCTGTGGCTGTGGTCAAATGTGCTCAACAACTCTGATTGGCAGAGCAGTGATATAAACAAAAACGCTATTGGATCATTTAAAAAAAAAAAGAAGGGGGGTGGAGCTACTCAATATTGTCCATCTTTCAGTTTAGATGACATCATACATTGAAAAAAGCTGCGCATTTAAAGGCTCTTCAGGGGAACTTTAATACCGGTCCTCAGAAGATCCGTGACCTTTAGTCCAGCAATATATCTGTGCACATCAGCAATTTCCTCAGGATCTTCAAAGATACATTCATTACAGCTTGAGGTTCACAAAGATCGGGGTCCTGACTTTTCGGTCCCCGAGGAGAAAACAAAAACCTTGACTGTCTCGCATTGACGGCGGCCACTCTGAACAAGGGTTAATGGGGTTCTTTTGGGAAAATAATGTTAAGGGATTAAATCTGAAGACAAAAAGCAGAATAGGGTTGTGAATTCAATGCTGTTATGAGAGATGCTAATGACACAGTGCCTGAAATACTGTCATGGTGAGAGGACAGCATCAATTATTTTAAAAATGATGATTATTATGCATTTTCTGCGAGTATAGACAATATATTTGTGTTGTGTTAATATTCACTATTTTATTTAATATTTAGGATATTTTAGCATATGTCCACTTTATTATTTGCTGAGCACTGTAGTTATGAAGAATACACGTTGCATGTTCTCACGTGCGGGTTTCCTCCTTGTGTTCTGGTTTCCCCCACAGTCCAAAGTCAAGTGCTGTGTAGGTGAATTGAATAAACTAAACTGGCCGTAGTGTACGAGTGTGTGTGTGAGTGTGAATGAGTGTGTATGGGTGTTTCCAAGTACCGGGTTGCAGTTAGAAGGACACCCGCTGCGTAAAACATGCTGGAATAGTTGGCGGTTCATTCCACTGTGGCGACCCTTGAAAACTAAAGGACTAAGCTGAAGGAAAATGAAGGAATGAAAGTGAACAGTGTCATCTGAGGGGAAACGGCACTTTGAGTATTGGTAGTAAATGGCGCACTCTCTTCATCAGCTTGTTGTATTTGGCCGTGGTCCTGCTAATGTTAACGTCCTTCATAGATCTGGCATGACTTTGGGCGAGAGGCAGTCGAGTCATTGACCTTCATGGCTGACACTTTTAAGGGCTCTTGTGTGATAGTAAATGAGCCTGAACTGTAGTCAAGCGCTTCCAAGAAAATCAAAAGTGAGAATTTCATTTACAACTGCATTTTTTTTGCAGGTCACCGTGACTCCTCTCATCCTCCTCGTTTCTCCTCTAAAAATGTATTCTATAAGTCAGTCAATCGCATGACTGTAACTTGTCTTTTTCTGCTTAAGACATCTGAAATAATTAGATTTTTTTAAAATGCTATTTTTTTGAGTATATAAAGTTAAAGCCACAGTTTTTTTATTTTATTTGTTTTATTTTTTTCAAATATTTCCTAAATTATTTTTAACAGAGCAAGGAATTTTTTTAAGTATTTCTTTCTTAATTAATTAATTCCTTAGGGTATTAATATAGACCTTTAAGGTACAAATTTGTACCTTTTGAACAGGCAACACGGCTGTGACATCTTGCGAACCTTTATTTTTAAGAGTGTAGGGATAGTTCACCCAAATAGTTAAATTCACTCAGTATTACTTTACTCTCTTAAGTGGCTCTAAAGCTTAATGAGCTATTTTTTCCTGTTAAACACAAAAATACACTTAAAAAATTGCAAATAATTGATATGCGTTAAATTTAAACAAACAAAATAGAGTATTGTTCAACTTGATTTGTTTGTTTAAATTCAGCCCAAATAAATAGTTTACAACCGCTTAACATAAAAAATAAAAATGTAAATCCAAGGAATCATCTTTGCATCTTTTTTTTCAGTGTTTTTCAAGTTTTTAGCATGTTTCAAAATATCTTCTTTTGTGTTCAACAGTAAGAAAGAAGCTCTGACAGGTTTGTGACAAGGAGGAAGAGTAAATTATAACAGAATTTTCAAGAAAATTCTATTTAAATTATAAAAAAAATAAATAAATAAAAAACTTTTGACCAGTAGTGTGTGTGTGTGTGTGTGTGTGTGTGTGTGTGTGTGTGTGTATATATATATATATATATATATATATATATATATATATATATATATATATATATATATATATATATATAACCTTACTCACAACAAAGTTGAATATACAGTATACATATACTCAAAAAATTACGTTTACTGCTTGCTCAAACTACTTATTAAAAATTAGTTGAAGTGACACGATTTTTAAGGTTTTGATGGGAACAAGAAAAAATGTTTGATCAATCCACTTAAATATGTACAAATTATTAAGCTAACTTAATAGATTTGTGTTGGGACAACATGAAAAAAACATTGTGTGGAACCCAACCTTTCTTATACAATGAAAAAAAACTATTCAAAGATGATTGGATTTATGGTCTGAATTTAAACAAACAAATTAAGTTGAACATTAATAAATGTAATTTGTTTGTTTAAACTCAACTCATATAGGTTGTTTGCAACAATTTTGCAGACAGCACTTTTTTCAGTGTAGTATATACACTGTAAAAAAATGCAGAACTTGACACAATTTATTCATGTTGTTCCAACACAACTCGATTAGGTTAGCAGGTCCCACTTTATATTAAGTGTCCCTAACTACTATGTACTCACATCAAAAAAATAAATACAATGTACTTACTGTGTTTATAATGTGTTTGAAAACACTTGTGGTGCTTTTGACTTGGGATAGAGGTTGGGTTATGGACAGGTTTGGTGGTATGGGTAGGTTTAAGGGTGGGTTATTGTGTAAGGGATGGTCAACAGTGTATTTACAAATGTAATTACAGAAGGTAATTACAGATGTAATTACATACATGTATTTAATCAAGCCTAAGTACACAGTAAATACAAGTATTTACACAATAAGTACATTGTAATAAACTATTGGTTCCTATGTAAGTACATATTAGTTAAGGCCACTTAATATAAAGTGGGACCTTATATTGTTGTTTCATCTCATTTTAGTACATGTAACAATGTTTGAACAAACAGCAAGCTTAATCTTCTGAGTGAATATAAAATAAAGACACCCTTGACAGTTTGACAGGACAATACACTGGAACCATCTCAAACAATATACAGTTACAACCAACACAAACTCCATCCAGAATGTCGGTCCAGTCATTGCTAAAGAGGGCCTGTCGTTGACCTCAAAATAGCCGGCACTATTAGACCGCGCATCCTAGTGTCATTAATCATGCCGGAAAACATGCAAAAATAAACAAAAACTCAAGTTTCCATTTGCCTGAATCAAAGAGAGTCTTCATTGCTCTCCAACTTAAAAGAGCTCTGAAGTGGAGCTTTGATTTCTCCGGTTAGACATGATAAAACACACTGATCCAGGGCTCTTACCTTTGAAGAGGAGTCGAGGAGCTTGAGCGCAGGAGTGATGGAGCACAGGCAGATTTTCAACCATTGATCCCAACCTCACCTCTCACATGTGAATGGACAACCAAAATAACCCGTGCATGCAGCGCCTCCCATCACACCACTGTCCTGAAACTGCACAATTCACATGCATGCATTTAGCACTGGCTTTAGCACAGATAATTATTGGACAAACAAACAAAAATGCTGTTAGTTATCAATATGAACTCATTGATTGGTTTCAGGCGATTGTCATTCTACCCAAACATAACACAGAGCCTCGGTCAGGTGCTGCAGATAGAAATGCACATAATTGCTTAATTGAGCATTTTATGGCGTGTCTCACACTGTCATTCACTGATGCTCGGAGGCCTGGATTTTAAATGAGAGTCCTAGCATTCAGTGGAGCGTGGCATTAATTACAGGCAAGTATCACCTCGAGACTGCTGGGAAGAACATGAAAATAGATCAGAGCATTTAAGTCATAAAATAGGGAGGACGGGGTGGATTTATGTCCAACTTTTGAGTTAAAAGCCTCAGATTACAAGCACAAGCCCATAATGAATTTAAAGTTTTTTTTATGGTTAAGTTTTAGGCTAATTTTGTCGAAACTGTTTGGTATTTTTAATGCAATTTTTTTTTCATAATATAAATAAATAAATAAAAGTAAATAGACTTAATAATTTTTTTAAATGTATATTTTTACATATTTAAATTTTAATCTTACGAACAAATAAACAAATACATAGTTAATATAAATATAGTTTAATAGTTTAATCTAAATAATTACATCTAAATGTTTTTTTATTTACATGTTGCCTAATGATAATATAAATTATACAAAAAACTAAAAATAAATAAATATTAAATATTCATATATAAATAGATAGCCAAATAGTTTAATCTGAATAAATCTCATTTTTTATATGTTCAGTTTGCCTACCGATAATAGAAATTATACAAATAAATAATTGAATGAATTAATTAATGAAGTAAAGAATGGAAAAAAATATGAATAAAAAATTACTTTACGTGAGTGTTATGTACATATTTCCATTTTTTTTAATGTATACATGCGTATAGTTAAACAGAAATAAATGAGTACATTAATTTGACGTAAATTAATAAAGATAAATTAATGAATAAATGAAAAAATATATAATAAAACAGTAAAAATAAAAATATACATATATATAGTTAAATAGAAATAAAAAAAATGCATTTGGCATGAATGTTTTTAAATGTTTATACTTTTCCTAACGATAATAAATACAATAATATAAAAACATTTAAAAAAATTATATTGAATAAAAAAAATTTATTAATAAAATGGACAAATAAAAAATAAATACATAAACAAATAAACAAAAATAAGTAAATAAATAAATAAACTAAATAAAACAAGCAAACAAAAAAATATAAATAAATAAATAAATGCATAGATAAATAAATAAATGAATAAATATAAAAATAAATATATAAATAATAAACAAAGTAAAACAAACAAACAAACAAATATAAATAAACCAAAATAAATAAATGAATAAACAAAAATAAACAAACAAACAAATAAACAAAATAAATAAATATTTACATTTTATCTAACATATAATTTGCATTTGTATAACTACCTCTTATTGCAAATAACTTACCTTATATTTAAATAAAAAATTGTATTCACCAAATAAAACTTATTAAGCCTGTAATTAAAACAGGCAGATCATCCACTGCAATGCTGTAAAAAATGCTGGGTTCCACACAATCAGATTTATGTTGGGACAATATGAAGGAATTAAGTTAACTTATTAGCTTTTACAAATTTAAAAAAAAAAAGCCCTCAATAATTGTGTTGTTTCAGCTAATTTTAAATGCGTAGTTTAAACACACAGCAAACATAATTTTTTTGAGTAATCCTTCAGACTACAAGTTTCACATGGATGAACACACGACCCCTATAATGGATTTCTTTTTGAACGTTTGACCACTGGTCTACGTGCTGAACCTGTCTGGCTGTTGTGTTGGTAAAGAGCGTGAACGGGGGACGCTGGAAGGGCACACACACCTTTAGAGGAATGTGGAAAATGAAAACAGCAGCTGTCGACAGAAGCAAAACCCAAACGTCCCATGACGCATCGCTCACGACCGAATACATGTGCGCCTCTGATCACTCTTATTTTTAGGAGCGCCTCTTTTTCACTCGTCGCCATCACACTCTTCACTGTCAGCACTGATAACACACTTTAATGACCTGAGCTGACAGTGAAAGATTTGCCCATCACAACTATGCAAGCTAATAAACCGTAGAGGCGTTCTGAATGTTGTGTTGATCTGATATTTAGACCAGCAGACAGATTGTATGCAATGTAAAATTAAGATGCTTTCTGTACAGTCAACTCAGTTTACTTGTATTGACCTTATTCTTCACATACAATATAAGTGGATGCAGCCATCTGAATCTTTTTGGCTTGAGACATCTGGACTCATTCACTTACATTCAATTTTAGACATTAAAAACAGCTCATTATCATGCTAATTGATGTTGCAAATTGATGTTTTCTTCTTATACTATCCTACTTTTTAGGTATAGTCATGAATATAGTACACTTATTTGTAGAGCAAGTAGTTTGATTGTTTATTAAGCCTAGTCATTTCTCCCAAAGGCCACTGAATCAGGCGTTCTAAAACAATCACAGAATTGAGTAGACTTCCACATATCTAAATAAGGTCAATAGTGCTTTTAACAATGATTATCACTCTAAAGCAGCTAAACAAAAGGTGCACATCATTCCATTACAGTCTAAATCAGTCAGAAAAAGTAAAGAGTGAATATACTGGCCTGCCATTACATAAATATAGTAAACACAAAGGAGCTTTTATATGGAAATAATAAGAAGAATTTATAAGTGAAGTAGATGATAACACATTATTTGGCATGAAATAGCAGCTTGTGATGTCCAGTAATGTAACAAGCTGTTTTGTAATGGTATGTTTTTCTAAATTATACAAATAAATGCCAAAATTACTGTATATACTTCCTAAAATGTTTTTACATACATTTTCATACATATACAACAGTTTTACTTGGATACTTTTTACAAATTTAAATGTCTGCCTAACAAACAAACCTAACACATAGGCAAATAAGCAATAAATGAAACAAATACATTTAAATCTACATCAAACAAATACATAAATGGTCATATATTGACATAAATGAATGTTATATATATATATATATATATATATATATATATATATATATATATATATATATATATATATATATATATATATATATATATATATATACACATCACATCTTTCAATTCAATTCATCTTTATTTCTATAGCACTTTTACAATGTACATTGTCAAAGCAGCTTAACATAGTTCTAGTAAATTGTAAATGTGTCAGTCCAATTTTCAGAGTGTGATTAATGTGTGAGATTATATATATAGTTTTATGCAAAAGTTTGTGCACCCTCTCTTTTGTGTGGATTTCAAAACCTGCAGTCACTTAATGCTGACTGAATACAAGACAAAACTGATTTGAGTGACTCAGTGAACCTCAATCCTAACACAGGTGGAACCAATCATGAAAAAAGATATTTAAGATGGCTGATTGCTATTTGAGATTCTTCGTATTGTCAACCAAAAAGAAGCAACATGGAAACCTCAAAGTAACTATCTAAAGACCTAAACGCTAGAATAATGTACCAACATAAAATAGGATAAGGAAGCACAAAGCTATCCCAAAGGTTTAAAGTATCTATATCTACAACCAGTAATATAGTAGGGAAGTGAAAGGCCACAGGAACAGTTCTTATGCCGGAAAGATGCTAGACCAAAAAATATAACTGAAAGGCAAATGCGAAGAATGGTCACAGACAAACCACAGACCACCTCCAAAGTGCTCCAGGAACATCTTGCTACTGATAATCTGAAGTCCAGTGCATTCTTTACAAAGAACGGCTCAATGGAAGGTGATGCAGAAGAAGACTTTTCTGCATTCTGCCAACAAGGACAGTTGTTTGAGGTATGCAAAGGCTCATCTGGACAAGCCTGAATCATTTTGGAAAAATGTACTGGGGACAGATGCCACAACCACAGGCACTTCGCATGCCGGAAAAAGAACACAGCATTCCAGGAGCAGAACCTGCTCCCTACTGTAAATATGGTGGAGGGTCCATCGTGCTGTGTGAATGTGTGGCAAGCACAGGTACTGGAAACCTTGTCAAAGTTAAAGGTCGCATGGATTCCACCCAGTATCAGCAGATTCTGAAGGAAAATGTCCAGGAATCAGTCAAGAGGCTGAAGTTAGGCAGGGTTGGATGTTTCAGGAGGATAATGACCCAAAGCACAGTTCCAGATCTACCTGGTAATTCATCCTCAGACATGGTCCAATGTTCTAGAATGGACATTCCAGTCCCCAGACTTGAACATCATTGAAAATCTATAGATTGATTTGAAAATGGCCGTTCATGCTTGGCAGCCATCAAACCTAACTGCATTAGAGACATTTTGCAAGGAAGAATGGCCCAAAATGCAAGAATCCAGGAACTTATGCTTGACTATAAGAAGCGTCTACGGGCTGTTATTTCAGGAAAAGGTGGCTCTACAAAAGACTAAAGTCATTATTCTGTTGGGGTGCCCACATTTTTGCACCTGTCTATTTTTGTTGAGACTTAAATTGCATTGCATCTGTTGATTAAACAAATGTTATATCAGAACTGAAATGTTTTTTCCCCTGGGATATAAAATATATCCAAATGAAATGGCTGATTTGAAAGGCCAGGAGTAATAAAACAAACGTAGAAATCATACCTCAGATCGGCTCAGATGATTTGATGAGAAATAAAGAAGATGTGGGAACTTCTGAGCAACAAATGCAAATACTGTATCTTCTCTCAGCTAAACAGAACTACTGTAGGCCTTCACATTTACTCTCCATCCTACTGCAGTCACAAAAAGCAATAAAGCAATCTCATCCAGGATATTTCTTTCCTCCGGGAATATAAAAACAGAGATATATTTACATTAATTCATCAAACTCTCATATGCGATGCAAAACTCCAGAAAACCTCAATAGTGGACAGAAACAGTGCTGTGCTCCAGGAAATGTTATTATGGAGAATT